AAGCCAGAAGCCCAGGGCATGGTTTAGCTTTATTTGTTTGGTTTTCCTTCTAAGACTACTGCTATTAATTTTGCTTTTGTAAGTCACTTGGTCTTCAAGACTTCTATGTGATTCCCCCATATCCTAGCCTATCCATACCTCTGTCTGTCTGTCTGTCTGTCTGTCTGTCTCTCTCTCTCTCTGTCTCTCTCTCTCTCTCTCTCTCTCTCTCTCTCTCACTGTGTGTGTGTGTGTGTGTGTGTGTGTGTGTGTGTGTGTGTTTTAATGTATATTGGTGTGAAGGTGATCATGGTAGTCTGAAATCCAGAATGTGAAAATGACTTTTAAAAAGACATGGTATTTCTTAAAGGTGTCAGCATATTCTCTACCATAAGAAATTGTAGCTTTCGTAGGGTCTGATCTTCCTCATACAGGGTTTTGCATTATAAAGAACTATATGTTTTTATACAGTATATTTGCAAGAAATTGTTCCAGGTAAGGAACATTAAGCATCTCTTTATCTTTAAAAGCCAGAGCTCTGCTTCTCTCTAACTTCCTCCTTCTGAGGAAAGGTTTGCTTCCATTTGGGTACATGTGTGTGTATTCTTAATAGTGACTGAGAGCAGTTATTTAGCTTCAATTTGATTCTTTGACACATTTCGGTGGCTATAGAAATATTTATTGTGTGATAGGCTTTTTTTTTAATTACATCATTTCCTCCTTTGATTCCCGCATCACCTTTCTTGCACTCTTTCAAATTCATGGCCTCTTGTCTTTAATTCAGTTGTTATCAACCTGTGGGTTTCGACCCCTTTGGGGTGGGGGGCTTCACATATCAGATATCCTGCACACCAGATATTTACATTCCAGTTCTTAACAGTAGCAAAATTGCAGTTATGAAGTAGCAACAAAATAATTTTATGGTTGAGGATCATCACAACATGAGGAACTGTATTAAAGGGTGGCAGCATTGGGGTGAGAACCAATGCTTTGTTTAGCTCTCTCTCTGTGTGTGTGTGTATGTGTGTGTGTGTGTGTGTGTGTGTTTAGGCCGTGTAATGTTACTTGTATGTGTATGTTTCTCAGGACTGACCATCTGGTTTTGGATAACTACTTCCTGTGCTCTTTCCCAGGGAAGGCTGTTACTCCTCTCTTTATTCCTTAGTTCCCTGTAGTTCTTTGTCCAAGTTGAAGCCTCCTGAACTTTCCCCCTTTCACATTAGCATGCCTACTGGTGTCACTCTTATTCAGGTCTTGTAATTAGTTTACACCGCCAATGCTGGTGAGACTTTACGGGTATAGTTTCTCTGACATTTAGTGAGATACAGTCCAACAGCAAACGCCCTGATTCTTGAGTTCTTACAATCCTTCCATCCCCTCTTCCACAATGACCCTGGAGCATTAGGTGCAGGAGTTGTGTTATAGATACATCAATTGGGACTGGGCTCCACAACTCTGTGTTTTAATAGGGTTTTGGGTTTATGAATGGTCTTCATCTGTTGCAAAGAGTTTTCTTGATGATGGGTAAATACTACACTTATCTGTGAATATGAGGACAAATAGTAAGAATGTTATTTGGTATTATGCTGGTTTACTGAAGTGGTGGTCACAGGTTCTCCAACAACCATCATTCACCAGTGTTGAGTAGTGAGGGAGGCTTCCCTCTTGTTGAGGTGGTCTTCAATCTAATTAGAGAGCTGTTGGTTATGTGTTGGTTATGTGTTGGTATGTGTGCCACTATGGCACCCTTAGGCTTATGGCACCATGCTTGTTATTGTTGAGATTTATAGGCATCATAGCTGGGTAGCAATATTGGTGTTTCTCTCCTTTGGGAGCTCCTAGTACCATAAAATTTAGTCCTCCATGAGGAGGCTTTCAGGTCAGATCCAGCTTGGCTCCTCCGGGTCTTTTGTCTGAAGCACATAGTTCCTTCAGTAAGCGGGCTTTACCTTCTATTCTACCTCTGGAAGGCAACCAAGGGCAGTAACAACAGCGCATAAAGTTTTGGGAGTCTGTTGGTCAGGACCAATAACCCAAAAGAGGATTTCACATTCCTAGTGTTGGAATTTTGTTAGCTAGTTTATGGCTCTTTGGAGGAGCGTTGTCAGCCCCAATGGGAAAGTTTCATTAAACTATGTATGTGTAACTTTACACAGACTTACTGTATTATAGGTGTTTTTAGGTAGACAATTACTTCCCTGTAGTTTTTCAGGCATCCTTACCTTACCCTCTTTTCCCCCTCCCCATTTCAATCCTCTCTCCTCTTCCCACTGGAGCCCCACTGTTCACCTCTCAGTTGCTGCTCCTCTAGCCTGTACCATGGTCACTTTTTACTTTCCTAGTTTCTACAGTTGCTCCAGGTTATGGACTCACATCTGCAGATTTGGAGCTAGAGAAAACATACAACGTTTGTCTTTCTGAGCCTGGGGTATTAATTCAGTTTTTGTTTGCTTTTTTTGTTTGTATATGTGAGTATTCCAAAAATGTCTTGACTTTAAAAACATATTAAGAGCAGATAAACTAACAATTGATTAAAAGAAAGAAATAGAAGCAAATTACAAAACTACAGCAATGAATTTTAATGCCTTCTTGATGCTTTTTCAGTTATGCCAGACAGTTCTCTGCTTAACAGTGAACACGGGCCAGTGTTTGAAGTGGGACTTGTCTCAAAGGAAATATAGCTTAAGTATGAAATAAAAGACTAGATTTCAAAGACTTTCCATAAAGAAAGAATGTATATCATTAATAAATTTCTCCATGGTTACATTTAATTTCATTTGTTTCATACATGTGTTTGTGTCTGTCTGATAATTTTTAATTGTCAATGAAGTTTTGCTGTTGTGGCACACATATTTTTTCATAGTGCTTGTCCAAGTTATCTACATGTGTGTGTTTTTGTTTTAGAAATAACACCATCTTAACAGGAAACTTTGAATAACTTTGAACAGTAATTCCTTTTTTATTTTCTTGGTGTTTCATATGTAGTTATTCAATATCAACATCATCTTTTTGACTTCTTTGATACTGCTTCCAGCACTGCAGTCCTTTAAACTATCTCCCTTTGATTCTGGCAAGTCTCCTAGGGATTGAAATAGGTCTCAGTGAAGGTAGTACTGAGCCCCATTCATGTGCTCAAGTCAGATCATTGTTCCTAATAATGGCTTGAGTGCTTAGATAGCTCAGCACTTGTGTCTTGAATTGCTTGTCATTTCTTTATAAAGATGTTTCTGGAAACTGGTCCATGGGATTGCTCTTTTATTATTTCCTAACAAAAAGTAGCATGATCCTTTATTAGTTTGTTGAAAGTCAGAAAAAGAAAAGCCTTTTATATTAGCAAAAACAAAATGCTTTTCCTGGTACAGAGAATAAGGAGGAAAATCAGTCGTGAATTACAGTCTTGTGGAAGTTACATTTTAATATAGATCATGAGTAGACTGTCACTCTGCCAAGGGCTTTAACCTCTTTTGTATTTTCCATTATACTTGAGCCCAGATTGTCATCAGCTACCATGAGTGACCTGTGTAATTCTTCGAGAGAAAAGTTGCAATAGACGTAATAGTATGGTTGTCATGGAAGCATCTGTTATTTCATAAGGCAATTCAGATTTGATTGTTACAGATCCATGTTGAATACCAAACAAATGGGACAGTAGCTGTAGCTAAATCACGATTGTCATTTCTGTCAGGTGATTAGGGTTGCCCTAGAAGAGGTACAAATGGTTGAGCTGTGTAAATTCTCTCAACCAAAGAGAAAAGGTCTATCTGTCATGGCTGTCGAGAAGCAGCTTGTTAGCTCAATGAATTTCAAACTATTTAACCTTAACAGTTCCATTCCCTCTCCACCCCACACCAGCATACAAGTGTTATCAGTGTTTTGGAATTAGTCTTCAAGGGGTATCTTAAGCATATCAGTAATTTTCTAATGCCTCACCCTCCCTGAGGAGCAGAAAGGGCATGGGATGGGGGTTGGTGGGGAACATGAGAGGATGGGAGAGAGCGGGAACTGGAATTGATATGTAAAATAAGATTGTTTCTAATTCAAATTTTAAAAAAACATAAAAAAGATAAAATGCAGCCATTTCTATGTCTAACTAGATCTCACAGGACAGTGCATGCTATATTTTAAAGACCTAGGTGTTACCTAAATGAAATGCCTGGGTGGACATTAGAAAACATTTAGAAGTTTATAAAACATTTCTTGGGATGTATGCAATTTAACATTAGACATTGTACTATGCATTTAAATTATGACATAAAAATATTAAGATTTTGCAAAGTGTAAGTATATTGTCTGTGAGGAGCTTGGTACTAATACAGCTTAAACAGTAGCTGCAAATTTAAATGGACACACCCAACCTAATGATTTAAGGACATTTCTGTCATGCTGTAAATAATACTAGATGGGAGAAAGGGTCAGTTTTTGCTTTATGGGAGGAAATGTAATTGGTGAATTTACACTGGTCAGTCTAATGGTCATCCTGATATTTCCATTGTTTGACATATTTTGGGTACTTATGAAACTCATAAATAGGATTAGATGACCTAGAAATTGCTAACATTAAAAGAATTCATTTTGGGAGGAGGACTCAGTGTGCCATCTAGTGGACATAGTTAGTTTTCTGGTCACCAAATATTCATGATCATTTTTTACTTTGCCTCTGAAGTGCAGTTTTCTGGACACCTTGTCCCTTGGCCTTTTTTGATTGTTCATGCTTGTGTTACAGATCAAGTAACTTTACAATTTTGCTATAATTTTATCTTATTTTGAAAATTGTATTTGAAAGTAAGTGAAAGCATAAAAACCAATCTAACAACTGTGATCTATTTGAGCAACAGCACAGGCTAAAAATAAAATGTTTGGATTTTTTTCAGTTTTGATTAGCTACAAAAGAACCAATAAAAGCAGAAGTGTGGTAATTATTAAACATCTCATTATATATAGAGAGAGAGAACATCAAAAAGGTCATTTTAGTCATTTCTGTCTTAAAATAAATTTAACTTATTGTATTTCTTTTTCTTTAGAGAAATCCAAGGCCTGTGACTTACCAGTTCCGCCCCAATTTAGATTACTACAAGGCACGGGGAGCAGACCTTATGAATAAAAGCCGGTAAGTCCCTTCCCATTGGCAGTTGTTACGAATCACAAACAGTATCAGAAGTCATCAGGAACTTTTAGTATTTCCTGAAGCTTATTTTCTAGCTTTAACATGCCAAGGCTGGAGTGTAATGAATCATTGTTAAATAAATTGTCTAAGTTCTTTAAGACATCATGAAATATTTTGTAATGGTGGCAGTATGAATTAACACAAGCACTATAGTAATCTGTATGGAGTGTTCTCAGAACACTAAGACTAGGTCTACCTCATGACACGTCTGTACCACTGCTGAGTATTTATCTACAAAACATCATGTCACATCCGTATTTGTTGTGTAACTATTTGTAATATTTAGGTTGTCCAACAGCATAGAGGTAGATAAAGAAAATGTAGAATATATACTCAAATTTTTTTAGCCACAAAAAGGCTGAGAAAGGGGAGAAGAGGGCAGTATGGGGGGGTATACTCAGCATGTAACATATACTTGCATGGAAAATGTCCTTTTATAACATAGTATCACGACAATGAATACATACGAGATGATTTTTTAAATGTACAAATATACATTTTGAAGTTAGCAGTTTCATTTTTCTAACACTAATAAACCTGAATAGTTTCTACTTGGTGTAATCTCTTTCTGGATCTTCACTGTTGGATGAAAAGAGGCAGTTCTATGATATATTTTTAAATTATTTCAGTAACAAAATTAAAATTGCATTTCCCAATTGGCTTTAGAACTGCAAAATAAGCTTATAAATGCATCTTGTGTGATCAGTGATTGCATACATAGAACTCTTAAGGGTCACTGCAGGAATAAAAAAACATTAAAATCGTACTTTTAAAAGAAATTAACATTGGCATAAAGGGTTGATGAACAGTTCTGTTTTTTCATAATACTATGCTTAGATGTCTCAAGAGTTAACTTGTCAAACCAGAACCATTTCAAATTAGAATGCAATTTCAGAGTTTACTCTAGAAAACAATGTTAGCTGTGATAAATGCTGCCAAGTTGTCCAAATTCTTTCCTTAAGCGTTTTCCTGTGTGTTAACTTCTCTTGAAAATTCCAGCATCCTAAATATACATTTATGGAGTGCATACATACAGGGTGTTCTGCATTAAAAAAAAAAAAAAGAAACAACTGCCACTTGGGAACTGGTAACCCAAGGGCTGTGGGAAATGTACAGCAAAGAGGCTGACTTTTAAACTGAAATCTGAACCCTTGAATGCAACAGTGAAAACAATGTGATGCTACTGCAAAACTAGCCAGCTTTCATGAGGTGTTTGTCCCATAGTTGAAGGTAATTATGAGACCAGTTCCATAGCCCATAAGACTTATCTGGAGCTGTGTTCTATTTGTTCATTTCCTCCACGTCTTGTTTCACAACTACTACCTAGTTCATTTAATTCAACAAATTTTATTGAACATTGGGCTCTGATTATTTTAGACACCAGAGGTACCTGTATAACAATCATACTCAAATCCCTGCCCTCAGGAATGTTACTAACAGTTCACTTGAATTTCCTCCTCTTTATGCTAGTTGTTTAGTTTTTGCATGTTTAAAAGAAAAAGAAAAAAGAATATTAGGTTCATTTGTTGTATAAGGTCTTTTTATCTGAAGACCCTTCTGGTTCCTGCCCAGTGACTACCTTTTGTGAAATAGCCAAGGAAATCTCAGTATACAGCAGTTCATATTATACTGCCACTTAAACCTCTTCCAAAGTTTCCTTTTGCCATCAATCATCCAGTCCTGTGGGTATTTGTGCCACTATCCCCTTCCCTCCACTCCTGTGGGCTCTGGTTCTTACCATAACTTGGAGTGTTTGCACTTTGGCTCTTCCTGGCTGATGAGCACTGCTCCCACCTGAGCTCGCCAAGCCCTCTCAGGCAGAGCCCTGTCTAGGGCCACCTCCCAAAGGACACTCTTTATTGTCAGTCTGTCTTCTCCCTGTCTGCTGTCCTGATATCTTTTGAGAATTCATCCTTGTAAAGTACCATCATCCCTCTTGTTGTCTGTCGGTTTTGCCATGGTAATGGAAGCCAGCTGAGGTCAGTTACCTCTGTTATTCACCCACTCATGTCTCCTGGGAAGCAAGACTTGATACAGGGCAAACACGTAACAAACAGTCCTGTTTCCAACACCATTCTCACATAAATAAAAGTACTGTGTATGCTTTCCTTTCTGGCCTTCCATGGTTTTATTTTACCTATTTATCCTGCTGTCCTTGAATTTTTCTTGTGTAGATACTAATTTTTTTTTACATACTTTCTTCTAAGTGTACTGAGATTCTTATACAAATATCATTTGATGAATGGGAGAAAAATTTTTCATCATCTCTTTTGAAATTTTAGGGGTTATTAGATTTATTATTCATTTTTGCATATTTATGTGTGCTGTGTGAGTTTGAGTGCACCATATTGTGCAGGTGCCCACAGAAGTCAGAGAACTGCAGACTCCTGAGAAATGGACCTATAGGCAATTGTGATCCATCATGTGGGTGCTGGGAGCTGAGCCCAGGTCCTCTGCAAAAAGAATAAGTGTTCTTAACCACTGTGCCATCTCTACAGCCTTTCTTTTGAAATTTTAAAGCTTAAAATTGAAATTGGATCAATTTTAAATGTCATTTTTTTTTAATGTCATTCTTATTAAGTAGAAAATATCAGAGGCCAGTAAACTAGGAAGGAGTTAATAGATGACAGTGTGGATGTTGGCAAAACCTAGCAAAATAAATTCCAAAGAACATGCTATGAAAAAAACAAAAATAAAGAACAACCTGCCTTTTTAACCAACAACCTTATAAGTAGTGGGGAAATTACTGATGAATTTAACTGTACAATAATTTTTAATGTTTATTATGCTTTTGTTTATTTATCTGTGTCTTTATGTGTATATATATATATATGTATGTGAGTACATACACCCCACGGCTAACATGTGGAGTAGGACTCCTTGAGGGAGTCAGTTCTGTCTGTCCACAGCATCATCAGGCTTCATGACAAGCGCCTTTGCCCACCAAGCCGCGTCCCTCTTGCCACCAGTGCCACTGATATTTCTGAGTAGATATACTCAAAATAGAATACAGTGAATCAGAAGACAAATGCACAATTAGAGAAATGTCTGTAGTAGATAGAGCTAACCATATAAAGTTATTAATAAAGAACATGCACAGTTCATTAAATGCACAGCTTTTTAATACCATGCTCTTTTCCGTCCTCCTCCTCTTTCTCTAAATTACAGGACCCCTTCCAGGCTTTTGTGTCTGTGCTCACTCCCTATAGAACTTCAACCTAGGTTAGGGCTGCTCATCCTAACTTATGTCTTCAGTTTTATTCCTTCTCTAGACTCACATATTCCACTATTTATCTGTTTCCCTTAGATGCCAATATACAGTCTCAAATGTAACACTCTTTCTGAATGAATTCTTGATTTACCCATACCCCCATGCTGCAGGACAGTTAGCAAGACAGAAGCAGAATTCCACCATTGCAAGTAATACCACCCAGCTTACTCACAGTTGTCTTTGACTCCTGTTCTGTCTCATTTCACCCATCAATTCCACCAGCAAATCCTCTTCAAACTATGTCCCATAACAAATGACTTTCCTCTCTGTACTGCCTATATCAACGAGATCACCACATTTCTCACCTCACCACTTGGCTCCTTCTGGCCTCTCTGCTTCCTCTGGTTTTCTCGCACCCTTTCTGCCCAGCAGCCAGATTACTGTAAGTAGGAGTATACCACCCACTACTCAGAGCTTTTCTCATGCACCTAATGTTGTCAGGTCCCCTGCATGCTACTGGAAGAAAAAAAAAGGATAATATCGCCCAGCTTCAAACTCTGTAACCTATAGCAGCAAGCTGCCTGAAAAATATACTCATTCAGTAGTGGAACAAACGTTATAGTAGGCACTCACTTCTAGATTGTATATGAGTCCTGCTCCATGAGGTAGAACCCATACCTGACACTGCTGAAGTGGCCAAGAATGTGGGACTAGATAGGTCCTAGGCCTAACGGAAAACCTACTACAATTATTCTGCTAAAGGAACATAGAAATAAGATTATTCCTAGGATTATTCCTAGTGACAATTATTCCTTAGAAATAAAATTATTCCTAATATTTCTCACCCCTCAACAGAGAAGCTCCTTCCTGCAGGAGATGTTAATTAACACAGAAATCTGCACCTATACAAAGTACAGAGTGAGAGACTTGGAGTAGTCATTCTTAAGTGTAGGATGTCTTCATCAAATCCCTCCCCTCAAGTATTTCTCCCAGATTCTCACCCCCCCCCCCGATGTTCTTTTTTTTTTTCCAAGAAAACACTACCCTGTAAAGATATTCTAGTCCTCTGGCTCTCAGAATCTTTCCACCACCGCTTTTCACAATGTTTCCTGATATCTCTGATTACTCCAGGTTATATAGTAGTATTTTTTGATGAACAGAAAAACAATCATTTTGATAAAGTTAACTTTGCCTGGTTCCCTCCCCCACCCCCAGTGCTGTTTGTTTCCCACTGTTGGCTTCTCTTGTCAGGGCCTCCCAACACTATCAGCCAGATGCAGTGATTTAATAAAGAATCTAGTGATGTTCATGCTTATCACACATTATAGAAAAGAAGTGGAAATTAAAATCAGGAGGAGTAAGGTTGGAACCTAAGGGAAAAGATGCAAACATCTAGCAATGATGTATGACAATGTGTACTAGAGAACCAGTCGAGCCTTAGTGCCACCTTAAGTGTTTTTATTGCAGGTCTGGGCTTATAGGCAGGGAATGCCAGTAATAACTAAGTTATGCTACTCAATCTCAGTCTCTCCAGAGGTCCATCTGACATAAAGGGCTCGGTAGGGTGGAGGGGTTGGTCTGGGAGGAATTGGAGGGAAAGTAGAGCATGACTATGATCAAGAGGTCCATCAGATGTGGTGTGTTACAGGGTCTGGGTTAAAAAAAAAAAAAAAACATGTATTTCTCACAAACCCCATTGTTACTACAAACTGGTAGGTATGACTAAAGGGCT